CAGAGTGTGCAGGTTGTACAATTTGCAGAGGAGATATCTTCTCTAGTTCTAACTGTGGTAGTGGGTAGAAAGTTTCCAGCCTTTCCTCTGCAACTACGTTATGTTTTATATCAGCCACATCAGATGACAGCCAAGTTGGATTTAATACTGTGGGTTGAATTTGTTGTCTAATATTTTCAATTTTATTATTAAAAAAGTCCATGAAAACATCACTGGTGAGAGTCGCCGGAATTTGTGGTTCAGTGCCTGCCTGATTTTTTGTAATTCTGGAAATCACACTAAACAGTACTCTAGGATTATATTTATTATTCTCGATCAGCGAGGCCAGATATGCTGAGCGAGCCTTATTGAGAGCATTTCTATACTCTATAAGGCTGTCCTTCCAGGCAAAGTGGAACACTTCTAGCTTGGTTGATCGCCATTTCCACTCTAGTTTCCATACTGTTTGTTTTAAGGTATGGGTTTTATCATCGTACCATGGGGCGAGCTTTTTCTGTCTTATCCTTTTGATTTTAAGTGGCGCCACATTTTCTAAAGTAGATGGAAAGGTATTTTCTAAATAGTCGGTTAGTACATCTAGCTCCATTGGGTCTGATGGAGTGGAGACTAGGGTTGTTAGTTCTGGGAGGTTTTTTATGAATTGCAGGGCGGTAAATGGTTTTATTGAGCGCTTTGTAGAATAGCGAGGGGACGTACATATATTATGGCTAAGACGTAGCTCATAAGAAATTAAGTAATGGTCAGAGATTACTGAGGTTTGCGGTAGGATACTAAGCCTGTCTATGTCAAGTCCAAGTGTCAGAACTAGATCTAAAGTGTGACTACAGTAGTGTGTAGGCCCTGTTACATTTTGGGTAATACCAACAGAGTCTAGGATTGAAGTAAATGCCTTTTTTAGTGGGTCATCTGCCTTCTCAAAATGGATATTAAAATCTCCTACAATTATTACTTTATCATTGCGCACAGCTAGGTTTGCAGCAAAGTCACTAAATTCTTTTAGAAATTCTGTGTAGGGCCCTGGTGGTCTGTAAATGTTAAATAATGAAAATGCGTTCTTTTTTGTGGCCGGATTTGTAATGTTGATGGAAAGAACCTCAAAAGAAGTGGAAGTGTCACATTGTTTCTGACTGATATCTAGGGTATTTTGGTAGATTACACATAATCCACCTCCTTTGCCTGATAATCTTGGGCTGTGTACATAATTATAGCCTATAGGGGTGGCTTCATTTAGTGCTGAATATTCATCCTGTCTAACCCATGTTTCAGTGAGACAGAAAACGTCAAATTTATGATCACTTATTATTTCATTTACGATGACTGCTTTTGAGTTTAGTGATCTTATATTGAATAACCCAAATTTTAGAACTGAGGTGTTGCTGCTATCATCTAAATGATTTAATATTGATTAGGTTATTGTAGCGGGCTGATTGAGTTTTTCTACGTTTAGATTTTGATTTAATTTGGGGCAAAGACACAGTCTCAGTATAGTGGATCCTAGGTGACGCCTCAAGGCGGTTCGCAGACGGTCGGTTTAGCCTGTCTGTCTGCGGCCTGGTCCCGGCTCTGGATTGTCAGCAGCTGTTTACACTACTCTGCCGACTAACTAAAAGACTATGTGCTATGCTGCAAGAAAGTAAGGCAGCACCCTCCCGCATGGGGTGGACAACATCCCTACCTATAAGACCAGGCTTGCCCTTGAAATGTAACCAATTATCTATAAAGCCCACTTCATTTTCCGGACACCACTTGGACATCCAGCAGTTTAACGCTGAGAGTCTGCTGTAGGCTTCAGCGCCGCGCCGCATTGGGATGGGACCAGAGCAGATTACGGCATCGGACATCGTCTGGGCCAGTTTAATCACCTCTCTAATGTTACCCTTAGTTACCTCAGACTGCCGCAGACGAATATCATTGGCCCCTACATGGATGACTATCCTCGAATATCTCTTATTAGCTAACAGTCTAAGGTTGCCGCTAATGTCCGGCGCTCTGGCTCCCGGTAAACAGCTAACTGTTACTGCTGGCGCCCCGAAAGGAGTAGCTAATTTCACGTGTCGAACAATCGAGTCTCCTATAACCAGAGCACTTTTAACAGGCTCCTCAGCGGGTGTTTTGCTGAGCGGGGCAAACCTGTTTGACACGTAAATCGGAGGAGTGTGGTGTTCTGGTGGGCTAGCTTTGGCCTCAGCATTAGCATTAGCCTTAGCTTTCCGGCTATGTCGCCGAGACGTCACCCATTCACCCCGCTGTGAGGGCTATAACGCCGGAGTCAAGGGGCTGCTGACTCTCCCTAAGGCACCCAGGGCTGCTAGCGGTGAATCTCACTGTCTGTCCCTTAATAAATCCTGGATGCGCACCCCTAGCTGGTCCACCTTTTCCACCAGGGAGCTAACTAGCTGGCACTTAGCACAAACACAGCCACTATCATTATCGCTAGAGGTGGAAAAGAGGATTAAACTAAACATGCCACACTCTGAGCAGGCAAAGAAACGAGCAGTAGCCATGGTATTGCAGGAACTTACCGTTTTTGGTTGATTTAGGAACTTAGCAGAAAGATAGAGCTGGAGCGGCGGGTCAGCAGTCTGTGCGTCTGTGCGTCTGTGCCAGTAGGCATTTTTGAAAAGTAAGCATATAGTTCTGTTTAACACTATCGTGTTCATTCTTTATCATTATCGTCAAAGTTAAGATGCGGTCAAATGTCAAAGTTCTTCTTTACTGACAGAGCCAGTTGGGAGCAACTATCTTCAAAAAATAAAACTGGGACATTGTGAAGTTTAATTACCTACTTTGTGTTCAACTGACTAAAAATTTAAGAGCTTTTTGATTTAAAAGGTATTATTTAAGACAGACTTACATTAGTCCCTAAGTGAAAATTAGTCAGATTAAAGTAATTTAATAAAGGCGTTACCAAGTCTGCTTTTTTGTCATGTGTACATGTGTGAACAGAAAGTGATGACATCACTACGCTCTGAAGTAATTTCTTTGCTGTAAATATATTACCTTAATGTTATATTAATTAGTTTAGTTAACTTATTTTTATGGTTTTTGTGTGCCTTTTGGTTCGTGGTTAGTGTGTTAGCATGTTAGCTAGCAGGTGGGCTCATGGTTAGCACATTAGTATGTTACCTAGTGGGTTGGTTCGCAGTTAGCATGTTATCTATAGCGGGTTAGTTTCTATGGTTTCTAGTTTGCTTGTTTACACTTCAGCTAGCGCGTAAGTTTGAGGTTAGCGTGTTAAATATTGCTGTACTCAGCATACCCAGGAACTATTACTGTTGCAACTCATTTGTTGTTGACCTACTTTGTGGCAGAAGGTGTTGCCAGTATTTGATTTTTTTGGCTTCTTTGATTTTTGTTTCTTTATTTTCTAAAAACTGTTGTGTAAAAGCAATAGAACACTCAAGCTCATGCGTTACCATGAAGAATATCACGGCTGTGATAATCTACTGTGACCAAATCACAGCTGTGATGTTATTCACGACAACACACGACCCTGAACGTTCTGGTAAATGGTCACATCATGTCACATAACAACTAAAAACACAAATTAAAATAATTGTTTGGTATGAAGGTTCAAAGGCAAATGTGTATACAAACCTAAGTAAAACACCACAAGATACACTTTTTGAAGTTCCTCACTGAACTGAGTGACTGTCAAAATCCATGGAGAATATAGAGCTCTGATCAGTAAAGCAAGTGAACCTTATGTGAACAGTAACATGTAACATTTGTGTAGGGATTTTAATTTCTTATTTTATTGCTGTATTTTTGTTTCCTTCAGAACAACCACAATGAATCCACAAGAGAGCCCTTTGCACATACCTGAATGAAAACCGTAACAAACTCATCAAAAAGAATTTGGTTGGTACACTTGACCTTTTTAGAGGACTTCATTAATGTTTAACTGTTTTATTTGTTTTATTTCTGCTCAGAGATTATGTTGGCATTTTAGTGGAAATGGTTCCATGTCTGTTCGAGTGCAACACTTTTTTTTAATATTTGCATGATGGTCTGTTCCCAGCAGTGACACAGACATGGTGGTGTGTGTGTAATGTTGAAGCAAGTATATCAGACACAGTCATGCTGATGCTTTGTTTGTTTTTGCTTTTACACACGTCAGTGTCACTGCTGGGTTAAGCGTGGACCATCATCCAAAAATATCCAGCCAAGAGCATCTCTGTGGTCCCAAACTGACCACTGAAGAAGGGCTAGAAATCTCCCACTTGGACTTTGTGATCCACCCCACTGGAGAGTTTGGTTTCAGCACATCTGGCTCTAATATTTAGCATTAATTGCTTGGACCAGGTGTGTTGGACTAGGGTTGGAGCTAAAATTTGTAGGGCAATAGATCAACATGGTTGGGCACACCTGCTCTCGTCCTTAATCAAAGGTTAGAATAGTTAGAATGACCAGAGCTTAACTAAAAGGAGAGAACCAAAAGGGCACACAGACACGGGAGCACGCTGAAACAATTTGGCATCCCTCCGCTCCATTGGCCACAAACCTGAGTGATCGCGTGCGAGCGGCGGGACGACAGCACCAGCGTCTCAGTTTACTATAATTCCCTGCGTCCATGGATCCCTGGATCTGCTGAAATGTACCTGGAAATATATTCCATGCCTAATAAAGTATTTAGTTTTCTACCAATGTGCAAAGTCAAAAATAAATAATAATAATGAAAAAATATCATCAGTGATCTGCTAATGATATTTTGGCTTACAGCCAAATATGGATCATTAATCATTAAGGGAACTTACCGTAAAGGTTTACTCTTCAGCTGAATTTCTCGTAATCACACTGGTTTCTCAGACTAACCTTTGATTTTTTGTAAACTTTGTCCCTCTGTGCCCACTTTTGATTTGTTGACGTAATATCGTGGGGATATTTGGGATATTGGGATATTTTTTAAACTCTTAGTTTCTAACTACCTCCACTCAGCTTGACACTGTTTTACTTGATTACAATAAACTTTTAACATGATTTTGGTATGTTTTATCTATTGCTTCACTTTTATTTATTTTTTCTTATTTATTTCATTAATTATCTTTTTATTTATTGTATCATTATTTTATATTATTTTTTAAGTTATTATATTGTTGAAATTTTAATGGTTATTGATTTATTAGTTTTAAACTTACTACTGTGATCTTTATTGCTTCTCTTAGCATTCGATATGTTTTTAACAATTCAACTTTTCAGTCCCTGTTTTTTTTTTTTTATATTAGTTTGGCTACATTGTAAACGAGGGTCTCCCTCATTGTACTCTGAGTTTAAATAAAGGCTGATTCATTGGTTGTTTCACTCACTCTTAACATCCTTGTTTCACCCATTCTGTTTGCCATGTAAGGACTGCTGTTGGTAGATGATTCATGTCAGCTCTACTTTCAGTTTTACACAGGCTCCCGCTTTGCTTCTTCATTTAGCAAAGGCTTGATCATGCTTATATATCTGTAGAGCTTAGATTGAGCACTGTATTGTCATGCTTTATCTCTCAGTACAGTTGCATCTATGCTGTACTTCACAATGCTGTACATAACCTAAGATTTGACATATCGATTTATTGTTATTTGCTTGTAGATTGTGGATGATGTATTGTGATGTGTTTAGTCTTTTAAACTTTCTTGCCTGCAAGAATTTTTGTCATTTTTTCTTCAAATCCAACTTTTTCCTCCTTGGTTAATCAGCTTTAATTTTACTTTGTTATCACAGTGAAAAATACATTTTAACCTTTTTAAAATCTCTATAGATATTCCCATTTGATTAGTTTGGATAATATTTTAAAGAATATACAAAATTAAAATGATCCAGCTGTAGATAAAACTGCTCCAGTTAACCTTGATAGAATGTCATCCCTGGCTTCTGTAGCTCCAGCAGCTGCTGACACCCCACCAGCAAATACTCCCTCCACACCAAACATGTCCACTGCCACGGGTGCAGCATAACCTCCAGCCCAGTGCATGATCCAGACCAGCAGGGCAGCGCTCACCAAGCCGGAAAAGCTGCAGAGGTAGCTGAACAGCTCTTTCATCACTACAGTGTCTTTGACAATCCCCAACATCACTGACCAGCTGCAGGATCACTATAACTATGGTTCCCTTGCGCTTGTCACCACCACGGCTTCCGCCTCTGCTCTGCTTGTGCTGTCCACCCAGAGCTCGGTCTCACTTGTAGCTACAGACATGCCTCCATGCTCAGAGACATCACCCAACATACATTTATCCAGGGTGACTGTCTTGTCCATCCAAGGTCCTGTCTCACACATTCCTGTGGCTACTGCATTCCGAAGGTTCTTTGACCAGGGCAGCTATTACTCAAACCAGCAGTGCAATCAATGTAGCCATTGGTAATGGGCCTCCTGACTTTCTCTGTGATGTTTGTGTTGTGAAGCAGCCAAGCAACTGTTCTATGTTCCGTTCTCTATCCATAAAGCCTCCATAGTGTCCATCAACTCCATGCCATGCTCTTCTTTAATGCAGGGCTGAATGAATTTTTGTGTACAAATGTGTAAGCATTATTTTACATATTCATTCTTGATGTCCAGGCTTCAAGATCTCATAAATAAACATTATTCTATTGTAGTTGTTTAATTCAAATTTTCATTTCGTGAACTCAATTAATTTGTAATTGTAACCATTATATTTTATGTCAAATAAAACATTCACGTATGTTCTGGACAGAGCAAAACAAAGATATCAAAATATGCTTACCATTATTACACTTAAAAAAGAAGCAGTTTAAAAAAATATTTAAAAAATCTTTTTTAAAAACAAAACTCTTAATACTACTATTAGGTGAAGTTAGACAGAAGAGTAGAGGTTTTCTGGTCATGGAGTTTCTCTTTATTGTACGTTTTAGCTTTTTCCTACTTCAACATGCCGAACTCATCTCATCAGCTTGTTATCAAACCCTGTATGAGGTCATAACCCACATGTTAGAGCAGGAAAACACTAAAGCAAGCAGGAGAGGAGTCCTCCAAGAGTAGCATTGAGAAACACTGCATTAGGTTAATGACGAGTCTCACCTGGTGCTCTGTGTCACAGTAAGATTAATCCTCTCAGTTACTATCACTTATACCAGTATCCTGTGTTCGTTCACATGATTATGGTCACTGTTAAGTTTAAAAAGCCCAGAGCTCTTAAACCAGACTGGCTGGTTTGGCAGGTTTCATGTATTCACAGTAGTGTATGTGTATGAGTTTCTTTGTTCTGCAGTGTACAAATATCCAATAACATATAAACTATATTTCTAAACATGCATTGTGTAATTCACAGTGCTAATTTTAACGAAATGATAAATGAACTGATGTATTTTTGTACGAGGGTGACACCTATTTAGCATATTCATTATAAAAAATATATTGTAAACGATGGACTCATTAAATGTTTATTTTGAGATTGCCAATAATCAGGAGTGTATACACCACTGCAGATACTGCAAGGTTTCACTATGGTATACTAAAATGAGCATAATGCTCAAATGAGTTTTCATGTGAATCAGTGCTCGAATGTTCTCAATGCTTGAATGAGAATCTCAGTGTACTGCATCTATAGTTTACTGTCAGTTACTACAGATAATAATGCTGACATGTTTCTTCATACTTATAACAAAAAACATGTTTACTTGAATGTCAATTTTAAGTATTGTCATTAGGCAGTTGCTGAATTCCACAATTAAACATTTCTATGAAACATTACAAATTTTGGTAGAACACTTTTATGAATTTTCCACACAAAGGTATTTAGATGTTACTCTTTAAATCTATATAATTAATGTTCCAGATGGAGTAATTTATTATATTGTATGGTAGCATATTTGTGTGAGTTAAAGCACAGTTTCTGTCTGATCTACATGGCTACCAGGAAACAGAAAGTGAATCTGAAACTTTTACCTGGCCATTGACTTCTACTACAAGTGAAAATAAAGTCATTGTCTTTTCTATTTTTATATGAGTACAAAGAAACTCATCAAAACTAATCATTGTTACAAGACAAATGTGGCAGATAGAGAAAACTTTGAAAAATGTTGGAGTATTTCTTCAAGTTGAATCTAACATGTTGTTGTAAAACAGAAAAAAACTCCCTGTATCTCTGTATATTTATAAAGTATTGTAAGCGAAAACACATTTTTCGAGTTTTTCATCATCATCATCATCATCATCATTGTCGTTAACCGCTTAGTCCAGCTAGGGTTGCGGTAGCAGTTGGGAGAGCAGAGAATCCCAGACGACCCTGTCCCCCGCAATTTCCTCCAGCTCATTCCCGCTTCCAGGCCAACCTGGAGATATAATCACTCCAGCGCGTCCTAGGATGACCCCGGGGTCTTGTCCCGGTAGGCCGTGCCTGGTACACCCCCACAGGGAGGCGTGCAGGGGGCATCCGGATCAGATGCCCAAACCACCTCAGCTGGCTCCTCTCAATGCGGAGGAGTGGCGGCTCTACTCCGAGCTCCTCCCAGATGGCCGAGCTCCTCACCCTATCAAATAGAGTGTAGCCCACCACCCTGCGAAGAAAGCTCATTTCCGCCCCTTGTATTGCGATCTCATTCTTTTGGTCATTACCCATAGCTCATGACTATAGGTGAGGGTCGGGATGTAGACCGATCGGTACACAGAGAGCTTTGCCTTACGGCTCAGCTCCCTCTTCACCACTACACCCAGCCTGCGGTTGATCTCACGATCCCTCTTCCCATCACTTGTGAACAAGACCCCGAGATACTTAAACTCCTCCACCTGGGGCAAGTCCTTTTCCCCTACCTGGAGTGGGCATGCCATCCTTTTCCGGGCTAAGACCATAGACTTGGAGGTGCTGATCCACATACCAACCGCTTCACACTCAGCTGCAAACTGCTCCAGTGTGCGCTGGAGGCATCCATGTGATCCAGCCAAAAGAACAAATAGCATATAGCAGAGATGCCACCCTTCGGCCTCCACACATAATGCCCTCCTGACCACGGCTATGCCTTGACACCCTGTCCATGAATATCACAACAGGAGTGGAGACAGAGCACACCCTGGCGGAGTCCAACGCTAACACTGAAAGAGTTCGACTTAATGCTGAGTATACGAACACAGCTCTCACTCCGGGAGTAAAGAGAGTGAATGGCCCGGAGTAGCAGCCCCGGCACCCCATACTCCCGGAGGACCTCCCACAAGATATCTCAGGGAACACGGATCGTAAGCCTTCTCCAAATCCACAAAACACATGTAGACTGGGTTGGCAAATTCCCATGCCCCCTCAACAATCTGTGAGAGGGTGAAAAGCTGGTCCATTGTTCCACAGCCGGGATGGAATCCGCATTGTTCCTCCTCAATTCAAGGTTCAACTATCGGTCGAAGTCTCCTTTCTAGCACCTTGGCATAGACTTTCCAGACCGATAGTCTTTTTCCATGGCTTCTCCAAACTCCTCCCACGCCCTGGATTTTGCTTCTGCCACCGTTGCGGCTGCCACCTTTTTCACCTGTCGGTACCTATCTGCTGAGTCGAGAGTCCTTCGGGCCATCCAGTCCCTAAAAGCCTCTTTCTTCAGCTTGACAGCCTCCCTCACCCCTGGTGTCCACCAGGGGGCTCTTGAGTTTTTCAATTACAAATCAAAAATTGAAATCTCTTACACAATAAATCATTCATACCTTTTATTCAGTACTTTATAGAGGCACCTTTGGCACCATTACAGCTGCAAGTCTTCTTGACTACGTCTCTACAATATTTGCACACCTGGATTTGGGCAGTTTATTCCATTCTTCATAGCAGATCATCTCAAGTTTCATCAGATGAGATGGCAAGTGTCTGTGAACTGCCATCTTCACGTTTCTCCACAAATGTGAAACGAAAAATGAAACCAAACATGTCCGGCGAGGCTTCATTGCACTGCTCCATTTCATTTATTTAACTCCTCTTGTCTTGCTGATTTTGATTTGTTTTAGTTGACAAATTTAATTTTAACTTAATTTTAACATTCCTTGTTTAAATAGTCTAAATAAAGGTTGATTGATTTAAATGATGAAATGCATGTACTTTAATATAAACCTTATCGCTTATACAGTTCACAGAATCATGTGTAAGACTCATCAATCTCAGGACTCATGTTTACTCAAGCAACATCATGTTTGGCTTTGTTGTTTGTATGGATAATTTTCAATTACATCGCCAAGTCAATTAAAAAAATTACCTGGTTATGATTGTGTTTATAAAACAAAAAGAATAATTCAATTACTCAAAGAGTTATTTACTCTTACTTGCATAATTTCCTTTATTAGTCTTCATGGTTCAGGGGGAACTCAAGGGGTGTGGCATGCAAAGTAGTGCTCGCTGGCACCACCCCTTCTGTTAAAAGGACATGTGTTTTTTGTTGTTGCTGTTTGATTAGTTGTAATGCGTTTACATATTGGTTGGTTTATTGTGCTCTGTTGTAGTATGTTTGTAATATTCTTCATCAGTGTGTGGTGTATGGCTGTTAGTGACCTCCATTGCTTGTGAATTTGGTGACCTGTGAATGTTTATATTCTGGTAGAGCACCAAAAGTCTGCCTGAAGGCCTCCTAAAATGTCTATATTATGTTATAGCTGGTGATAAATTAGTCTAGTGTGCTTAAAAAAACAATGATGAGACAGGAAATAGTGAGAATGAGAGGAAAATGGGGCCTCATCCTATAATGGTCCAGCTGTTGTTGGTTTTTGTTTTTGTTTTTGTTTTTTTTTTTTTTAAGGAAAGGCTGTGAGGCCCATGTGCAAAGTGCTGATGTCAGAAGCAGCTGGGTGAATCTGATTGGTAAAATGGTAGAGCAAAGTATTTCTGGAGGAGATTGGGAGTTTGGAGGGTAAAAATTAGGGTGAGCTATTTGTCTCAAGTGCATCTGCAGACCATGTTCTTCATCTCTTTATGAAAAAGGCATTAAAGCAGTAAAGGAAGCTGAGTAATTAAATACTCATTATTTATATATTGATTTAACTGGTCATTAAGCATTAGGTACTGTAATCAGTACTTAGTAATCAGTAATTGAGTACACTGTTAACTGATAGTTTAGTTTGTCATTAATTTACAGCTTCTGTGTACTAACTGCTAC